ATGTGGTTGGCATTGTTCAACCTCTTTCTATAGGTTAAATTAAATTAAATTTATATTAAAAGCATATAAAAAAGAAAACCTATAGTTTTTGGTAATGTCAATATTATTATTATTCAGATAAGTGTATTAAACAAAAATTATATCAGTTATAAAATGCTCTGAATATTGCTCTTTTTATGTTTAAATAACTTTTTATTTAATAAATTCAATTAAATTAAATTTGGGTTCTTTCGACGAATAAATTAGCTCAATGAGAAGTATGTAATATTATGAATAGGTGCAAAAAAAAATTCGTACATCACAAGAGTTCATTTTTAATTAATAGATTATAATATAAACTATTAATAGTATAGTATATTATACTATATTATCAAGTAATTTTTTTAAAACGCTATGTTTGCTTAAGACAATTTATGTATTAATATTTATATTTTACATCTTTTATAACTGATATTAGATCAATATTTCTAAAAAAATATCTAAAATTGGGTATGATTAAATATATAAGCCTTAAAACAAAAAAATTCTTTTCAATTTCCTTTAATAGGGATATAAAAAAAATTATACGACTATTGATATTGATTATTTTTTAGTTCATAGCATATACTAAAACCATTGAAAACTGCAATTCTATTCCCAAAAATCGTAATTTTTCGATTTAGTTTCCAATTGAATTCACAAAGTTTTCTCCATTCATTTATACCACTACACATGACCATTCAATGGTCACGAGAGCCATTTAGTTTAAATGTTAAATGATGTGTAGACACGTTATCGACTGAATAAAGTCTCTACAGACAATTTGAAGGTATAGATATTTATTTCGTTTGGGCTTACAAAAAAGGTGAACTGTTACAATACCCGATACCCAATAATAAATTTAAATCTAAAATGTATACTTTCATAATGGATTTGAAAATTGTGGGAATTAAAATAGTAATAGGTAATTTAAATTACATTTTAAACATTAAAATAACGTCATCCGATTTTTTATAATAGTTGAATTTCACAAAATTTTTTAAACTATAAAATTAAAATTCAAAATGTTGATAAATTTATTTATATCATTTATTCATTTTAATTATGATACAACACAAAACATGGTCTAAAAATTTCATCATTTAAAATGGAGCCAAATTATATTATTTTTAAATTTTATTAAATTAATACTTTTATGTTTTTGAAATGGCCGTGAAACTGTGTCTGGATAATTTGGATTGGGTTGATAGTTAATATTTATTTGTATTTTTATAAAGTAATCTTTAGATTAAATAATGATTTAAAAGCTAGTGAGATAAGAAAAATATAAATAACTACAGACATAATTTTTAACATTAAGTTCCTAATTAGAATTTTATCACCATATGACTTTAATAGTTATGTATTTAACTCATTTTTGTCAAAAATAACCTTTCTGAAGTGTACCATCAAAATTTTATTTTATAATCTATATAATTAGCTACAATAAGCCAAAGATATTAGCTCAGCTATTTAAATTAATTAATTTCCGTATTACTTTTAAGACTGTTGTTGCAGAAGCATTTAACTAACATTAACTTAATATCTTTTATTTACGATTGAATGTTTTTTGCTTTTGTTTGTGGTAATTGTTATTAGACATTTAATTACATTATTTTACTGTAGACTAAAGTTAAGTATCGCTTGAACACTTAAACTGTGTCTTATGGCTTGTAAGAATCAATTTATTTATTCAAAATTATATTTTTAATGAATTCAAATTGAAAACAACAGTTTAATAGCTAAGGAAATAATACACAATTTGCTAAATCATCTTTACAAAAAACAAATGGAATAAAACAAAATATTTATAAGCTAAATTAAAATTAAATTTAGTAAAAAGAAATTTATTGTTATTTCCCAAATATTGTTAGGTCAAATTAATCAAAATCTCAATCAGGAAAAAAAAAGACATAAAAATTTTAAGAGAGGATATTTCTAATCAACATTTTTGAAGCTAAAAAAATTGATTCTGCCTATAATGTCGACTTGTAATTTTTGTGAAGCTTACTAGAAAACACTTTTTTCTATTAATTAAATGGAAAATTATAAAACCTCATTTATTATAACTAATAACAATGGTTGATAAATTCAATTATTTGTTGTAACTTCTTTCGATTTTTTTTAAATTAATGAAACTATTTGATTCTAAGCCATTTTTTGCACCGTTTTTAAACTTGCTTTTAGATATTTTCAACTGGTCCAATTTTTAAGATGTTTACCTACTAATTTGTAAATACAGTTAAATAAGCCACTTAAAAAATAGTAGTAATAATAGTTTTTTGATGCCCTGTAGGCAAGAATTCAGTTAAATAATTATAAACAAAAAAATAAATTCATAGTAACAAAACGTAATAGACACATAATATTATTTTTAAAAAGCACAATGAACTTCAATTTATGTATATTACCGTTAAAAATGAAAATTAGCTAGATTATTACAAATTATTGTAAATAGATTAAAAGAATCATTGAAACTATAGTTTTGACGATGACTATTAATATTAAATAAATAATTATTACGTAATTTAATAATATTAACATGGAACCTAAATTTACTGAGAAATTCTGAACAATCAATTTTATTACTAATTAAATTAAAAACAAAACGAGCCTCATTTAATTTGCTTCTCACAACTAATGTTGCTAAATCTAATAAATCATTATACTCAGCTTTAGGATAATCTAATTTATAAATAAAAATTCGTAAAAAAATATTTTGAAGGTGCTCTAAATCCAATAACAAATTAGACTGAAAAATATTCTATAAGATAGAACCATAATCTATTATTGATAGCACTTAACTCAAAACAATTATGTCTTAAACAATACTCCTAATATTAAAATTCCTATTGAAGACCTAAAGTCTTCAACGCTTTTAGTTTAATATGTTTAATATGAAAATTAAATTATAAATACTTAGATCTTTAACAAGATTAACTAATTGTAATAGACTTTTATTAACTATATATTGAAATTCAATTTTAGTTTTGTTTCGAAAAAAATTAATTTTCAAGCACTTATTAATGTTTATAGAAAACATTTTACTATGACACCATAAAACAAAAATGTTTAAATCTTTTTGTAGTTTCATACAGTCAAGGTTAAAGGATTTTATATTGTAGATTTTAATCATAAGCAAACATTAAACATTTCCTGTACATAAAAACTTTTGGAATATCGTTAATAGAAAAAAAAGAATAGGTAATAAGTGACCTCTTTGTGGTACGCCAGATATGATTTTTTCATTTTTGGAATTCTAGCGGTCATTTGTATTTGTTGGGTTCTATTACTTAAATAAGATCGTAACTAAGATAAGAAAGGATTTCTAATCCCCATTAAATGTAATTTGTTTAAAAGTATATCGTGTTTTAAACTGAGCCAAAAGCTTTTTTAAACCAGTATAAATGATATTTACTTGTTCAGTAATCTCAGCTACAGAAACTAATTTTGAAAAATAGAGCAATAAATTTGTTAAAGTTGATCTACGTTGTCAAAATCCATGTTACAAATCGCAAAACTGTATGTTCACATGATTTGTAAATTTAGTTTCAATTAACTTTTCAAATAATTTAGTTAGTTCGTTAAGTTTCAAATAGACCTATAATTTTGAATATTTGATTTGATATTAGAGTTAATAATAGGTGTTAAAAAACTATTTTACCATAGATTTGAAAAAGTACCCGAATTAGTAATAGCTAGTAAGTACATAACTGCATTTGTATTATACTATTGGCGTTATTTGATCAGGCCCACTACTAGCTCTCCTTCCAATGCGCATTAAACCATTTAAAATTTTACCAATAAATAATTAAAAATAGAAAACAAAACTGTTTCTTTAAATAGCATTTGAAATTTCTTAATATGACTTGTTCTTATAGAAGTTTTTTTCAAAATTTCAGACAAATATGTTAAGTTGAGCCTATTTTATAAAACATTAAAGATGGGTTTGTTTGGAGCCGGTAGATGTAAGTACTCCGGGAACATAATTACTAAATGTGGTCTTGCGTATAAAAAATAAACTAAAATAATAAGTATGTAAGTGAATAATTAAAAATAATTGCAAAATTGTACGAGTTGTGAATTAAAGATATTTGGTTTCTAATTTTCTAAGGTATCACACAAAATAAATAATTCGATTTTTTGTAATGTATTTTTCTTCACGTTTAATTCAATGTTTAAGTATTTTTAATTTACGTCTAGTAAACAAATTAATTACATAAATTATTTTACAAAAACAAATAATTTCATAAATTAATTTATCACTCTATATTATCTTGGATTTCACGATAAAACTATATTTATATAGAATTTTATTTTAAGTTAAAACTTTAAAAAGATTAATTTATATTTTTTAGTTATTTAATTGATTACTAAAATGTAATACGAAATAGTGTAAAATTTTTTTTTCTTCTTTATTTTTAGTTATTTAGAAGTCACTGACTTAACTCAAAAATTACTCAACGACTTAAAGTTTTTAATTGATATTTTTGAATAAACTTATTAATATAAATTTATGTTACAAGTGGAATTAGTTTTTCCATTCCTTAAAAATATTAAAATTGAATATTCTTGAGGAAATATAAATATGTTCATATTTTAAGAAGCAAATAATTTGTGAAGTTGGTTATGAAAAAAATGATATACAGCTGTGAATAAAAAAAATCTACATTCATTTCAATATACATTACCATTAACAGTATTTCATATTGATGTATGCAAAATTCATCCGTTATACATACCCACTGTATGTATTAAAATGTTTATAATTCAATAAGTACTTATCATTCAGTATATGACAAATCTATATGAATTGAATTATGAAAATGAAAGAAAATATATACTTTTAAATAATATTTACACCTCTCACAAAAGAATTTTAATATTAGGAGTATAGTTTATTTATTAAAAACAATATTAATTAGTTTTGTAATAAAAATGTAAAAAAATGGTATCTAGTTTATAATCTGTAAGCCACTTACTGTTTTATCAGAAATATGTTTTACTCTGCAGTGTAGAATAGCTGATTGTCCTATAACTGTTGTTACATTGTGAGATGAATTATCTACAAAATATGGTCTTTGTGCTGCTTCTAGTTTTAGTGAACTTGGTTTTACATTTTGTAGTGGCAAACTTGAATCCATTAAAACTAGAATAAGAGAAAGATATTTGAAAAAAATTTAAATATCAAATTATAGTAAAAAATTTAGGTTCCTCTCGACAAATTTTAATGCAGCAAATAATTATTTTAGGCCAAGTATACATACAATTATCATTATATAAATATACTCCTTGTATGTTTATATATATATATATAAAGGAATTGGATTGGAAAGATTAATCAGACTCTCTCGGATAAGCCTGCAGAAGTATTTATTAAATGACAAAATGGACCTCAATTTCTCTTTATTTTTCAACGAAAAACACGTTTCTAATTTTTATAACTCTTAACTCATTTGTTCCGTCGCCCAACATTAAATTTAATACATTGGCCATTTTATCTACACTAACATGTATTTTCCATCATTCTTTTCCAGTATTTTTAAAATCTTAATAAATTATGAGTAAACGAAAAATATAAAATATTTAAAGTTTTTTTAGGCTGTACATTAAAATGTTTCTCTGTAAAAATAATCACAACGCGTCATTGTAAGAAATGTTATCTACGGGCGTTTTCTTTTAAGCAAAATTTACTTCTTTTTAACCTAAGAGTTTGTAAAGTTATGATCTGCATAAATAATAAAAAATTATACAACGAATAAAAAGAATCACTATCGATCATGTATCCTATTCCGTAAAATATACCGTAATTTAATGATGTTAAAAGATTCATATATGTAGTACAGAGTGTAGCCAATTTGACAACTCTTATAACTTTTGATACAATTAAACCATTACTGTAATTATTTTTAACATTTTTGCATTCTTAGGTTATGTTAAAAACTCATTTTTTATTATTTATTTTAATAATACAAATAACTTTTTGAAAAATATTTATTATAGTTTAAAATTTTTTCAAAGTATCTCTTTTTTGGAAATTTTTTACAAACAAATTTGATGAGTCGATAACTACGTAAAGATAATTATTACTGATCTGAACTCAATATGCTTATTACTCAATACATGCTAAAAACATTTTTGATCGTATTTGTGTATATTAATAAAGTATACTCTGTCCATGCTACACACTCAATTTTTGTATTAAAAAGTTTGTAACTCAATAAATACTTATCTTAAAGTTGTTACATTTTGAACCATTAAGATTTTTCGTGTATAAAGAATAAAAATGTTTTTTTTTAATTTTGGAAAAATTTAGTTTATATTTTATTATTAATAATAAATAATAAATATATGTTTTTAACGTAGTTTATGAATGTAAAAATTAATGAAAAAAAATTACAATGAAATTTCAATTGTATTAAAAGTTATAAGAACTGTCAGTGAGATCTATCCACCCTAATTATAAATGCATATTATATTATATATTAAATAAGTGTTTTAATATCTAAAATATTTAAACGAGGGATTATGTAACCGAATCGGTATCGCAGTAGGGCCTGACTTGCATTGTAATGAGTTTCAGGCTTCGAAGTGTTTCCATTTGCTGAATGCATTGATATTTTGAGGAGTATAAGGCGGATATATGTAAACCCATTTTCAATTTTGAAAACTAACGTAAACCCTATAAAAATACTACAAATATGCAAGTATATTCTCTTATACGTTCGTATAATTTTTAAAATAAATTTACCACTACCTCACCATATTGTATGCCAATCACGTTATTATTTTTGTGAATTCCTCCTTTATATTATAGAAATTGAAAAAAAGAGTTCATACGTGTCTTTGATTTGGGAGACGTAAATTTCTTATATAACACTGTTAAAAAATGATCCATAATTGTATACATCAGTATGGAATTTTTTAATTATATATTTTTAATATAAATGTTAATTGTACATACAAGTAGAATATTTTTCCCTTACATTATATTCATTAAAAACTCCCAGTACATATAAGCGACAATTCAACAATTTTTTTAAATGGTTTTTTACAAGTACGTTAATGCCTGAATGAGAGTTAAAATCAGTTATTTAAGCTGTAATACTTTTCCTCAATAATATTAGTTATTTAAAAAATACTTATGCTTATTATTTTCACTAAAATATTATTTAAGTATTAATATTTAAAAAATCGTTGAGCGTTAAGAGTTAAAGAAAAAATATTATTTATTTATATTTATATTATAATAATATTATATAATACATAATATTATGTACATTGTACATAAAAAAGTAATTATTTTTAAATAAATATTTTATAACTTAAATTAAATATATTTTTTTCATTATTAATTGTACAAATACTACAATTTATTATACTTTCATAAAAATCGTTAAGATCTTAATTTCTTTTAGAATACAATATAATGAAATTTTTGCCTCTATTAATTATGAAAGCGCACTTAGTTTTGAAATTTCATTAAAATCAATCCATTTTTTTAGTTTTTTCGATTTTATTAAAATTTATTTAACTGAAATTGGACTATCTTCATAAAACTTAAAATCAAAATATCGAGTCATAATAGAAAATTAACATGGAAACATTATTATTATTTATAAGAATTAAGAAAAATTTTATTATTAAAAATTCATATTAATTCACAATGTTTTTTTTTCAAATTACCGTAATGTACATTAAATTATAAAGTTAAAAGTAAATTTTTAACAAATAAAATGAACTTCCATTTTTATAAAACATTAAATTTATCATATTCTATCTTTTCCATAAAAATTAAACTCTTAACAAAAAAGTAATAAAGAACATTTTACTTTTTTCAGCTATAAATAATATTAAGTTTTTTTAAAAAAAATTATTTATCGACATAATTTTGAGGGATAAATTTTAAAAGCTAAATAATAACCTATAATATCTTATAATCCAATAAGTTAAAAATTTTAAAAACTTGACTAATTGATAACTAGTTTTGAAATATTGTCCATTGAAGTAACGTCATAAATATCTATTATCATTTAAGCCATTTCCATCAATAGTACTAGTAAAATGTTTACTGATATTGCTAAGAAACACAAAATTGTTTATTATCGAAAATTAAGTATTGACATCAATAAAATGTTTAACTGCTTCAAATTGATTTAATTGACGGTGCTAGAATTTAAAAATTTAAAGAATAAGTAACTAAAAAAAAAGTTTAGCTACGCTTTAATTTTTTTATAAGACAAATGTCATAACGTTAAATGTAACTTGATCCTCTCTCTTATACCTATATATTTTATTAACATTAATAGTATTATTTCAAAACTGGCTATTGACCAGTTGTGACGTGAAAAAAAAGTACCAATTCATTTTTTTATTATATTTGTAAATTTTTGTTAATTTTATTTAATGAGTGATTCTAATGTGTCTTACTTATTCTCGTTTTTTGAGTTCATATTTTTTTGGATTTGATAAATTTTATTGCGTCGCACGCATTTGTGATAGTTAGCTATGTTTGCTACTTCTGTAACTGATTCAATATGTGTACAGTCACTCAGTTTCACTCCCTTCTTAATACCCTGAACGCCACTATGCATTACTTTGTCATCTGTTGGTAAATCATAAATTCAATTTTTTTATTAATTTTCGGCACTGGTTACTGTAAATTTCAATGACCTCAAATGTTTAACTAATATGTTGCTATCAATCCACCAAATTTCATATTGAGATTTTAAATGCGAATTCGGAAATTCCTATTTGTGTTATGGTCTAACCGTAGCGATGTTCATTTTTAAGCACTGCAAAGTAATTGTAAAATTATTATTGTTTTTCGTGAATGACTCCTCTACATTAATTTATGTACATTTTTTAAGTTTTGTTGACGTTGATTGATCCTAGATCTAGTTTAGAGCTGGTAATATATATTTAATATTGCAATGACCTGAACCAAAATTTTTTTGTTCGCCATGCACCTGTTGTGATTTTTTTTCATATTTTATTTTTTTTTTAGACTCCTATATTGTTATTTAGGTATCTCATAGTAAGAGTTGTATCCCTGACAGTGACGGACATGTTCCAAAACTGTCCGTCCCGTTTAAATTAATTTATTTTTTGTACTGATTGCAACGAATATGTATTTATTTATAATTTATTGAATGATATATATTATATGATTATGTAGCATATGAAAATATTTTTCTGGGGTATACCAACGTCTTGCAAGCTTAGTCTTACTATTTAAGACTCGTGTTTAACTAGGTGCGTTTATACAGAATAACTGAGCGAACTGTTGTGTTCGACGATCTAAAGGTATCCGAAGGCGTTAATCGTATCCTCAAATCATAAAAGTTGTAGGTGTAATTTTTTATTATTAATAAATAAATTTAATTATTTTGTATGTCTCTGTTTCCTTTAATTTTCAGATGAGATATTTTAACCACTCGATTTTTTGACTCATTTTGACTGATTTTTACTTAAATTGCATTTTATTAATAAAGTCCCTGTAATTACTCTTAGCCACAAATATTCTTTATGCGCGTATAGTGTTCAACGGGATCATGTATCTTATATTCATTATCCTTCAAAAATCATTTTCCATTAGTTCATGAAGAACAAATAATGGTCTTGTATAAAATTATATCAAATTCATTATGATTATGAAGTACAAAGTTTTTTGTACTTCAACTGTCAATGAGTCACCAAATATCAGATTCAATTTTAATTTGTTTTTAGTCTTCAATTGTTATATCTCATAGTATGTAATTTAACATGGTCAGCTAATAAACAATTTATTTATTTTATTTTAGTTGCTTAATTTAAAGATAACTTATAAAAATCGAACAACATAACTTTTTTTATTGAATTATTACTATTCCTGAATATATTAAATTAAATTCAACGTCAATTTTTTTTATTTTCCATTAAAATACCATTGTAGTTGTCTACCCTAGTAGGTTGGCTATCTTATTTTTTCTTTGTATCCATTACAAATTTATAACATGTAAGGTACAAATTATTATCCGTTGTGACCAAGATTTAAGTTTAAACGTTGCACCCTTACACAGAAACTTTTTTTAAAATCAGTTCTTCATTTAACTTTGTACAAATAATTTTAATACATAAGCATGATAAATTTCACGAATATTATACTTC